CATATCAATAGAATGCTCATTTATAGAAGTTTTTTTAACTGTAAATAAAAAGGCATTGTATGGTAATTTTAGAAAAAACTGTGCACAAAACAATGCTCATGACTTTTTGCGTGAGTTTGATGTCTGATCTTGAAAACTTGGTAATTACTGTTATATTATTTGCTAATACAATACAGTTTGGTCGTGATATTCAATATATGTAAATTACTGATATTTCAAACGAAAATTGGCTAAGTTATACCTTATAATAATGACACAGGACAATTTCGAAAAACCGGGATCAACCCGCGCGAATTGCTTCCGTGGCGAAATTTTAGCGTTTTTTCAAACTCCAAAAAGTTGTAGTTTTATATTTACAATATTTATAAAAATTACCAATTTGTTTAGGGAATTTTATGTTTAATCTAATAAAAATATGTTTTTTAGTGAAAATGACATTTGGTAGCTAATAAATTCCATCTTTTCTACAAAGTAGTTAATTTTTCAATTCTTCTAAGATCAAGCTCATATTTCTGCTTCAAATATAAACAAAACGTGTTTATTTTGTGTTAATCAGCTAGTTTATTTCATTATCTTTCTGATAATATAAGCATTGCCGAGCTTTGTTAAGTCTAAGTCGTAAAAAATACGATAAGTTCGAGTAGAGTGTCAAATGGCGCGCTCAAATTTTAAGTGCGCCGGCCTCTACGGTATCGTATGCGCGAGGCCGCCCAGGCCCTCATAGGTTAATATGCATAAAGTATAAATGAAAGCTTAATTTACTCTGAAGATTAAAGGACAATGTTAAAATTGGCCTAAGAACCAACACCAATTTGGCATTTATGATAATTCTTAGTATATTTGTTGCGATAATTATCAGTATTTAGATTGTGACGGACACTTCCAGTTAAGTAAGCTAAATTAAAAAGTTAATAAATAATCTGAGACAATAAATACCATTTTAAGTGTATAATCTATGACAGCACTGCAAACAAAAAACACTTTCTTCCTAATGCCGGCACTTCACTTGGCTATTCGTTTTTGCTATTTAAAAACATGACATGTCTGTCCTTTTCATACCTTATTAAGCATGATAAGGACAAACTGTTCTCAAGTGAAGGGCCGGCATAAACTCGATACTCTGTGGTTGTGGTGCAGGCAGTATGCATTCGTAGTAATCTGTGGCATTCGTGCAATCTCGTCAAAGAGTAGGTACTTTTATATACGGAAAATTCTCGTTCGGATTACCTGTTGTGTGTGTTTATTTGCGATTGTTTTTCCTTTAATTTAACTATTTCTATTTCGGCTATCTAATATTCCATCGATGTTACCAAAGTGCAGAGATCTTATTACCAAGTGCTAGTGAACCTGTGCCACAACATCCTGAGAGGATCATACTGCCAAATTATTCAAGAGCACCTGATACACATTCACGCTGCATATTTACACAATATACATGTGTTAAACAAATAAATACAATATGATACAATTATGTGAAAAATACTCAATAAATAATAAGAAGCAAAACTATTGTTTTTATTTTATTCATGATTCCTACCTAACCAAGTTTTTCCTAATAGTTATTCTTTAAAATCGCACCGAATAAAATGAATTAGTTGTAATATTAATTCATTTCATACTAAGTTCATAGTATGTACTTTTATTGAATGACCTATGTTTCATTAAATATTAAACATAACCTCAAAAATATTTTAGTTTTCCTAATAATTTAAGTTCTCAGAAGTGTCCGTCAATAATCTTTGTTTTTACAGTCATTTACTTGCGATTTCGAACCTAGAAAATAATATTTCATGATTGTTGGTTCTTAGGCTAACTATGTATGGACGCAGAACAATGTCCTTTGCGGTTCTAAAGCGCTAGAGACTCGACACTGCAATTTGCTATGCACTTCTTAGAGACATTTACATGGTACGGAACCCTTCGTTTGCAAATCCTAGGTTTTATAATAACTGTCGTAGAGCATAATAAGAATAACTGTAGATGCAACTATATATAATGATACCAATGCGTCAAAGTGTAAATACATATATATTTTTTTAAATAGGTTAGGTTAGTGCTTTTTGCATTTTGAACTTGCCAACTGGTTCAATGTTGTTTTTTTCCTTTCTAATGGTTTCATAAAAATGACTTACGGCCGTACTCAGATATGTCAATTAACATTTAAGCTATTGATGCTGTCACACTTTTGCGATAACAATAGAAAGAGACAACACACGACTTATTGAAGTAAGTAAAAACAAAAAAAAGCTCAATTCAGTTAGTATTTTTTTTTGCTATGATGGAAAAGGGCTCGAAGGGGCTGGTGTTGGTGTTTGTTACTAGTTTCCCAGCACCGCGTGCTACTTTCACTTTCGGTGTGCCACATCCGCGCCCACTCCACTTAGGTGACCCGTTGCGCTCGCTTCGCTTGCATCATTTGCGTTATGTCATTGGAATCTGAGCGGTCATTTTACCTCGCTGTGGCATTGTGAAGGACGTTCTTTACATTAATTTTGTACTAATTTTATATATACGATGTTCTTGATTTCGTTTAATTGATCTATGTGTCGAAATACGTACGACATATTTATGTATTTTCTTACGTCCCAATCTAGTATAAATATTAGTAGTTAAGATATTTTCATGACAGATCATTGCTTATAATTCCCTCATTAAATACGCTCATCACGCGTGAAATAACTATAATACTTACTAAAATACGACGTCAAAGAAATCATTTGTGTGTATACCTAATAACTACTTTTTAGAGAATTCTATTAGCAAAAGGCAAACTAACTATGTAGCCGCTTCAATGTTCTCGTTGTGATAGTTACTTAGGTTTTGTTGTAGTCAAGGGCGTCGCCACCCGACGGTCTGGGGGGGGCAAGTTCGTATGCAAATACGGTTTAACAAAATAGACTGTAGTTGTAGTAGTTGCTACCTAGGCCAAAAAAGTTCATATACATCCGATAGCCTAGCAAGTGAGCGGAATAGGCTTTAGTTGCTTTACATTTGGCATTTTTTTACAATGTCTTCCCTGCCCCCCTTGGCGACACCCTTATTTGTCTCTGATAATATAAATGAGAGAAGCTACATAAAAAATGCGCTAAACACATTGAAGACAAACAGACTAGGGCCCAAGCAAAGCAAATGGCCGGCGCATGAATGTATGTTTAACCCAAAATGTTTGAATCATCATGACATGGAAAAAGAATCATGAAACAGAGGTGGTGTGACATAAGTTTCGCTGTAAAATTAACATATATTTAAAAGTATTATAATACACACATCAAAAGTGTCTAGGGATCAAGCATTTTTATGCGGATTTCTTGAGATTGAGATGTGGCTTTGTAATAAATTTATGATTTTATAAATTTATATGGATCCTTTTTGGTGCATTTCATAATTTGAATCAGGAACTGTGAATCAAATTCGAGTAAAAGATGAAAATCAGCTGTCAATATTTTCCCTATAAAAACATACAACGCATTGAAGACATTATTAGTGCTACTGTTTCCCTACTACTGATTAAAACCAACGTTATTATGGAGCGGCGACGTCATTTAAGCAGGGAAGAAATGCTCAGAGCCGTGGGAATGATAGAAGCTGGTTCCCGGCAACGTACTGTGGCTTTAGCTCTGAATACAAGTCAGAGTGTTATCAGTCGACTTTGGACACGATACCGAAGCACTGGTACCGTGGCTGAGCGCCATGGAGGACGGTATCGCTGCACCACACGAAGACAAGACCGATACATTCAAATCTTAACTCGAAGAGCTCCAACAATAACCGCCATGATGTTAGCCGTGAGGCTTCATCACTCTTCAGGGAACTTAATTAGCGACCAAACAGTCAGAAACCGCTTGCATGAAGTGAACCTTCATTCCCGAAGACCGCTACGGGTACCACCTATAGCAATGCACAATCGTAGGATTCGATATCAATGGGCTCTTGAACACAGAAATTGGGCAGAAGAACAATGGCGTTTCGTGTGCTTTTCTGATGAGTCTCGTTTTGGTATGAGACCGGATACAAGACGTATACGACACTGGAGAACCCCTGGACGCCAACAGCGATTAAAATCCTGCCAGGAAGTCCATCCTTATAGTGGTGGAACCATCATGGTATGGGCGGGTATTTGGATCGGCGGAAGAACTGAGTTGATTTGGATCAGAGGCAACCTCAACGCTCAAATTTATGCTGAGACGATTGTATCAGACGTCATCGTTCCTCTACAAGTGCAAATCGGTCCCTTATTTCAGTTAATGCATGATAATGCACGACCGCACACCGCAAGAGTTGTAAGACAGACTCTCGCCGCAGCTAACATCAATGTCCTGCCCTGGCCTGCTCAGTCGCCAGACTTGAACCCGATTGAGCATGCATGGGATATGCTACAGAGAAGAGCTCTGCCGAATATGGAGGGTATCCAGTCGCAAGAAGACCTTTTTTTGTTGTTGCAACGAACATGGGCGGCCATTCCCCAGCGTGATTTGGATGAACTCATTTTGAGTATGCCAAACCGATGTTCTTGTGTTGTTAGTGTTCGCGGTAGAAATACGGATTATTAATTGTTTAAGTTACCCAATAAAATTTTAGAGAAAACTGTTATTTCAGTCTTTTTTTCGAACTTTTGTGTTAGTGGTTCAAATGTCAAAAATCCCTTTATTAGGAAAATGGCAAATTTCTTTATTAATGCAAAGGTGACTTGGTTTATCGTTACTGTGACAAACGAAAACACTTTATTTGATGAATCCTTAAAGAAAATTTTAATTAATATCAATCAGGAGAAAAGTTATTGCAAAAATATATGTTGATCCCTAGACACTTTTGATGTGTGTATCAAATAAATTAGGTTTTGTGAATAAGTATGTTTTATAAACCTATTTTCTTAATTTTGATTTATCATTTATACTAACACTATGCTATTTGCCATTTAGACTGAAGGTTTTACTTATCACAGTCAATAAAGAATGAGAGATTTGAACAGATTAGGCACATGAAGCAAATAAGAAACTTACCGGAACCTGATATGGTGTCATCTTCTCGTTCAGTCAAACCCATTGTTGGACGTGCACAGGCTTCATCACTGAAAATAAGACACAATCAGTGGGGAAATTCATGGAGTTAACACACTCATGCAACTGACTATGAAAATGAAAAATTAGGACAAAAGAAGATCTGCAAGATTTGAGCAGAACGAAAGAGTAGTCAACTAATGAAGTCAGGCTATGCCGATATCCTCATAAGAACTCATGCCATAACTTGGGTTAACAGAGCATGCAATGGGCAGGGTTGGTAGAGTATCAAATGGGCAAAAGAAAAAGATATTTAGTGTTCATATCAGTCACAGAGTCGCACTTCAACATCAAAGTTGATGGAGATATTTAATAATAAATAATCCACCAACTACTATAGTTTCTGAATTATGTCTATTGATAGGCTGTTACCTGATATTATAAAGAGGTACGAATTTCTTTGTTTGTAGGGAGTAATCTCTGGAACTACTGAATGGATTTTGTTTTTTTTTTTGCTATATTATTCCTGAGTGCCATCTATAGGCTTTATTTTTATTGTGGTAAATTAAATTGCAACCATGCAAAGCTGAGAAGGATATAAGTTCTTCTAAAAGAGAAGGATAAAAATTAAATGTAATAATAATAAATCTATATTTAAAAGTTAACAGTTGGGACATTCCTTTTTTTTCTCACAGATCTTACAGATAGAATAGATATTATTAAATCAGAGTAGATTCAATATAATCTATCTTGATAGGCTGTTTTCACCCACCAAGATAAATATTTCATAATACATAGTGCATTATCAGTTCAATAATTAATTAGTGCCTCCTGATGAATAAGAAGCTATCATGATTTCTGGTTACCTCAATAGATTGTGCCGGTAGCAGACTACGGTCCTTCTTTCATCACTGATTCCTATAGAAAAGTGGGCCAAATCTGGTCGACCCAGTTGTTCAACACACTGGTGTATTAGAAACCGGCGATAGTTGCTGACTGGAGGGAACACCAGCACACTTTAAAAAAAAATACATATGCATCACTTATTGAAACATTAGTATAACTCAAAAAAGTAATAAATGACAGACAGTAATGTTTTAATCAAAATATATATATATGGTATCTATATAATTTTTATGAAAACAAACACAACTCCTCATGTTGAGAAAAATCTTGTTGTATTTTTATTTTTAAATTACAAATGTTGGTATGATCCTACCTAGTGCTTAAAAAGATATTGCTACTTTTATGAAATTTTCATTAAATGTCATTATGGGAGCAGTCATTAGCAAAGAAAATCAAACTAATCAATAATGTATAATTATACTTTATACCTTTTAAACAAAAAATATTTATTTATACCTTTTTACAATTTTTCCCCATATTTTATTTTTTATTCTTAGTATAATGCCTTAGAATAATTACATTGTAATTGTAGTAACTGCTCCATTTCATACCTATTAAACAAGGATCAGTTTCTTTAATCCTTTTTACTTATTTTTGTAGGTTTTTTACCTACCATTTGACTATACACTATTCAAGCTAAAACTATTAATCAATTACATACAACCCAGAGGGTGCTTAAAGTTCATTATACTAACAATACTGTTACAGAACACAGTTTTCATTTAGTTGTAAATCATAACAAATACAGTATTTAATACACAGCTGCCATGCCTTGCCATTCACGAGGGGTTTCGAAATAGTGTCTAGAATAAATATATTAATAAGCTTCATAATTAAGAAGTTAGATGCAATTTCAACGGAGATGTCCTAGGATTTTTAATTTTTTGTCTTACATTCACAATTTAGGCGATGGCAGTACTAAAACAACAGAAAAGCGAGGTTTTTAAATAATTTATATTCTAGTAACAAACGATTATTTAAAATGTAATAGAACTATGTTACAGGTCCCATACATTTGTAATTTAATCATAACTTCAGGTCCGCACTCGCGGGAACGCTGTTAACAAGATATGTAATTTTTTATGCCTTTATGAATATTTATTAGCGTTTGATGCCATCTCGGTCCGCTCTATTTGTTACATCCTACGCCGATGGATTAATAACCTTGAAATGTATACAGTAATACATCTTTGAATGTAAAGGTACTCCATCGTTATTACCATACCTTAAAATAGGGTTTAAATCACGATCAGTGAACACGAAGTTTATGTAGAAAAATAGAAACAAAAAAAATAAATACAAAATTGTTTACATACCTGTCACCTCTCTGTTCTGACAAAAAACATTTCAAGTCATCGTTAACATCGTCCACGAAATTATTGTCAGCTAAACTTAAAAACCTTTCAACCGTTTTGGCACCCAGCTTGGCGGTGAATTTGATAATAAGCTAAATAAATTTTAATGAAGTGTTTCACGTGCCAAAGGAAAACTCAGCCGTCCATTTTCATCATTTCTTTCGCACACACACACACACACTACAAAACAAGACAAGAGAGAGATATACTGATATACACATACACAGGCACATAGACACTAATACTAAAGCTATTAACAGACATTCCGATTTGGTTGGTGCCAACCAAATTGGAACCGATGTACCAACCATTCCAACATTGCTATAGACGTTCCGACGGTCGGCCTTCCAACCGTCAGTTTACTTTGCTATGAAGTAGTGAACGGACGTCTTGCCACCTGATGCCGTCGATCGTCGATGCATAAACATCATGCCACCGGTATTATCTAAAAATGCTAAAATAGCGTTGGTTGCAGCAACCATTGCTGCTACATCACCGCTACAAAAGGAACAAAGGAAAAAACGAAGCGAATGGGCTAAATTCTATTATAGGAATAGAGAATATTACAGCCATATGCGGCTCCTTAAGGAATTGGATGATGAAGATTTCCGAACATATCTTCGAATGACTCCAGAATCATTCGTTGAAATATTAAATTTTGTGAAAAAATATATAACGAAAACCGATACAGTTATGAGGCGAGCTGTAACTGCCGAAGAAAGATTAGTGGCAACTTTAAAATATCTCGCGTCAGGAAGAGAATATAAAGATCTTAAATTAAGCACATGTATATCACCACAACTACTGTCTGAGATAATACCAGAGACCTGCGAAGCTATCATTAGAGTACTCAACGATTACCTAAAGGTATGTATTCAATAAAACAACTTTAATTATTTAAAAAAATTATATTTTTTTTTCTATAGTAACAAACATGACGATGGTGATTCTGTTAGCAAGTATAAAAAATTTAATGTATTATTTGTTGGGTGTATCCTTACTTTCGAAATCATAAAAATGAAAATGAAAAAATACCTACGAATATCAATTCGAAAAATTACTTTTTAAAAATCAAATATTTGTTTAATTCCTTCGCCTTTCCTCTGAATACTTGTTGTTGATTGCTGCTTAATTCAAAAGAAGTGTTTGGGTAGTCATTAATCAATGAAGTGGAATCTAATGGGATTGGTGGCAAATCATAGATTAGTTGTGAAGATGAGTCATCCGATGTAAGCTGAGGGGACACTATGTGTTGGTACGAGTGTGATGATGGTGGAAGCTGAGGTAATGTTGATGGTGATGGCTGACTGTGTTGAAGTGACGGTTGAGATTGTGCTGTATGTGAGTACTTAGGTGATGGTGATGGCTGACGATGCTGTGGTGATGGTGTTGGTGATGGTGCATATGGTGACGGCTGGTAATGCTGTGGTGATGGTGATGGTGACGATTGATATGGTGATGGCTGACGATGCTGTGGTGATGGTGATGGTGACGATTGATATGGTGATGGCTGACGATGCTGTGGTGATGGTGTTGGTGATGGTGCATATGGTGACGGCTGGTGATGCTGTGGTGATGGTGATGGTGTTGGTGATGGTACATATGGTGATGGCTGGTGATGCTGTGATGATGGTGATGGTGTTGGTGATGGTACATATGGTGATGGCTGGTGATGCTGTGATGATGGTGCTAGTGATGGTTTTGGCACCTGCTGCTGATACGCATACCGCTGACCAAAAGATTGTTCTGAACTTCTTTTTACATTTATTGATGTTTCAAAAGTAAGGATTTCTAGTTTTGCATAGAACAATACTTCGCCTATTAATTTTTCGGCTAGGCATCTTTGTATTTTTGGGAGCTCCTTGAGTTGAGAGCTCACGGAGTTCCCAAAAGCATCAGCTGATGTGCCGTCGCCTGATATTAATATTTTTGCAGACTCTAGTAATTCCGACTGTTTCTTTAAAATATCATTTTGCTTTTTTCTCGTAACGCGTTCTCTTTTTGTTGCAGGTTCCTGAAACAGAAAATGACTGGTTACAAATAGCTAAAGACTTTGAAACAAAATGGCAATTTAATCATTGCTTGGGTGCTATTGACGGCAAACATGTTATTATCGAGAAGCCGCCAAAATCGGGTACATTGTACTATAATTATAAAGGAACTTTCAGTGTAGTCCTGCTTGGTATTGTGAATGCAAATTACGAGTTTATTTATGTAAATGTAGGTTCTAATGGCAGTATTTCTGATGGTGGAATATTCAAACATACAACTTTTCATGAAAAATTGATATCGAAACAACTAAATTTACCATCACCTTCTATTTTACCGGAAACAAATGTTAACGCCCCATATTGTTTTGTAGCAGATAATGCATTTGCCATTAATGAAAATGTTTTAAAACCATATCCAAGAAGAAATTTGACACATGATCAAAGAATTTTCAATTATAGACTTTCCAGAGCAAGAAGAATTGTCGAAAATGCATTTGGCATTTTAGCTGAACGTTTTAGAGTATTAAAAAGACCAATTCAAATTAATGTTCATAATGTACCCAAAGTTGTAATGGCTTCATGCGCACTGCACAATTATTTAAGAAAAAAGTCATCGAACTATATAACAAGAAATTGTGTTGATACCGAGGATACTGAAACATGTACTTTTCGGCCAGGAGACTGGAGATTAAATGACAACTCAGTAAGTCTTAACAGAACAGAAAGGCAACGTACTGCTGATGGTAATTCTGTTAGACAAATATTCACTGAATATTTTAACAATCAGGGCCGGGTACATTTTCAAGAAAGAATGATTAATACTTTAAATATTTAAAGCTTACCCCATCATTATTTGACAGGGAAGAATTCGTATCCATATTGTCAATAACCTCTGTCGTCGGTGTGGTTTTTTCGTCCAAGAATGAGAGATGTTCGTAGTACCATAGTGATGGCAAATGCACTTCATCGTTTCCAGCACCACTAGTCTTGCTAGCTTCCACCTAAAAATATGTACAATATCCTAGAGTTTATTGAAACCCATAGTTGTGTTATTTCTTCAATGAAGTACTTTGAATATGTAATTTTTTTTTACTTGTTAATAAATATTGTCAAAACATGACTTGATGTAGCAATTATACCGCTATGTCACTTGAACTGTAGAAGCAGGTAGAGGGAAGGGGCGAAATCCTTTAGCAGTCATATCATTATGAAATGAAAAAATTACGTCACATTAAATACATGTATTTAATGTAACGTAATTTTTATTTATTTATTTATTTTATTTTTTATTTAACTTTTCGAGCCCGTAGAGCTAACAGTAGGTGGACTTAATGCTAAAAGCATTCTCTCCCAGTCAACCTTGAGAATAAAAACCGAAAGCATTGTAAGGTAGTTAAAAATGAAATATATAAATAAATAAGGAAAAGAGAATAAGTACAACAAAAGTATGTATTGAAGACACAAATATTAATAATTATAAATATGTAACATACTTACAACAATGTATTATAAATATGTAACAACTTACAAAAATACTCACAACTTACACATTATTTATTTATATACACAACAGATTATTAGACTTGAATTTGCTTACCTTTTTTCGCTCCCTCTTATAGGATGTACGCATATTGTCCAACTTAGTTTTCAACGTTTTCAAAGTAGCTGCACTGTCATTTTTTTTAAAAACGTTCAGCATTATCAAATACGCTTGATTTCTGGCATCTCTATTGGCGTAATCTTTGTGACTTAAGTCCCACAAACAGGGAAAGTCTTTATAAAGTTCTAGTAACTTTATTAATATGTCACGTTCGGTGACCGTCACTCCCTCGGCGTTCATGTTGACGTCCTACAACGCCGGCGTAGCGAGTGCGATTGAGTCGATTTGGTCGGAACGTAGCTTCCATACGTTCCAATTTGGTTGGACGGTCGGCTTGTCGGATGCGTTGGCGATCCGACCACGTCCAACCAATAATAATAATAATTATGTTGGACCGACCGCTCTCCACACTTTCCGTTTTGGTCGTGGTCGGGTGGTTGGCACCAACCAAATCGGAACGTCTGTTAATAGCTTAACGCCGGCACTTGACGTGGCTATTCATATATGTTGTCATTTTGACAGCAGGTTGTCCTAATCATACTATATAGAGAGTGAAAAGGAGAGACTGTTGGCAAGTTTATAAATTGTAAAAATACTAATTAATATGGGAAGTGCCAGCTTAAGATACACTATACTGCTAAAGTGCGTTCAGACTACGCTATGCAAACCCTTGCAATAATATAGTATAGCGAGGTGTGAAGACGTGTTCTATGTAAATGTATGGTGCTATAAAATATAGAGTAGTCTGAATGGTGTCCGTCATGCTAGCGTATCCCACATCGAGTTCGAGGTTGTCAGGTATATACTAATAAATAGTACGTAAACAGTGCCTAATTATTGCAATAATAAAAAATTCTTCCACTTTAGTTTAGGAAACAATAACTATTTTCGTGTGCGCTGGTGTGACGATCAAGGTAGCGTACACCAGATCATTCTCGAAAACGGCTCATTGTTATGCAACCAAGTTTTTTTTTTTTCGGCGGGAACCTTCGAAGAGGAAAGGCGCGCTTTGAAGATTTTTTTTGCATTAATTTTAATTTTCTCTTTTTTTTGTGTATTCTTGTATAGTTTTATGTAAATAGTGTTTCAATTCAAATATAGGTATATAGAAGTTAAATGGCTAGTACGAAAAAGCGGAAAAAAGACTTTGGGGGTGGCGATGATAGTCGTCGTTCTTCGGACGATGAGTCTGAGACCTCTCAGAAATTCAAGATCTTTAAAGTAACTGGGTATCAAAGGAAATATCCTGAAAATGCAGATAAAACATAGTTTGTTGTGTTTTTGTCTCACAAAACTTATGATACGCCATTTACGGACAAAGACAGAATAAAAATTTCAAAAGCCATCCGAACACATTGCGTGTCCGGTGTTTTACATTTAAGGCCGGTTAATCGGTATAAAGTCGGCATAACGTTCGATCTTTCGAACAATGCCAATGTTTTTTTACAAAATGCTAAACTTTTGGAAGAGTTGGACGTAGTGGCCACCATTCCAGCAAAGGACACTGAAGTAACCGGTGTGCTAAAATCTGTCCCTACCGAATTGTCAAATAAAAACATTTTCTCTTTGATAGGTAGCTCCAAAAACATTATACAAGTCCGGCGGTTCATGCGGCGTGTGCGGGGGGATGCTGGTGCAGTCTCGTACCAGCCCACGCAAACAGTCGCAGTAACGTTTGCCTCTACTCAGTTGCCAGAATACGTATATCTAGACCATTGGAGACACGAGGTCAGTCCATACGTTCCACCTGTTAAGCAGTGCCTACGTTGCATGCGTTTCGGTCACATTGCTAAGTTTTGTCGCAATAATGAAGTCTGTTCAATTTGTTCGACAAATCATAATTATAAATCTTGTACTGTTGATATAGAAAATGCAAAGTGCACTAACTGTGGAGGTAATCACGTAGCCATCTCATCCTCTTGTCCAATTAAAAAGCAACAGATCGAAGACAACAAAATTAAAAGTAGAGCTGTGCAGTATTCAGAACTATTTAATGAAAAATCATTTCCCAAACTTGCCGAAAAATCGATAGAAACACATTTAAATAATTTATCAAAATCAGACTTATTTATGAATTTATTAGTAGAAACAATAATGAATATAGTATCTAATAAGAATGTACCTATAAATAGTAATACTATAAAAGAAAATTTACATAATACATTCAGAAAAATACCTTCCAAAAATAAAAATGGCTAACTTAAATATTGTACAATGGAATGCTCAGAGTTTAGTAAGCAGTAGGCTCATATTTACAAATTTTCTTTATGAACACAACATTCATTTAGCATTAATATCAGAAACTTGGCTAAGACCGAATCAACAATTCAAAATAAAAGGTTACAACATAGAAAGAAATGATTCTGATAATATACATAATGGAGTTGCAATATTAATTCGCAATAACATTGTTTATACTAAAATCAATACAAATTTTGATAATACTTTGCAAAATATTTGTATTCGTATTACAATAAGAAATAAAGATATATCAATTGTTAGCTTTTACAGTCCTCCAAATACTAATCCTGCCTTTAGTAAAAGCAAATTAGATTCTCTTATAAAATCTATCCCTGGTCCGATGATTTTTGCAGGTGATTTTAATGGTCATCACTCTTCTTGGGGCTGTAATTCCACAAATCCTCGTGGTCGAGATATTCTGGATATCATTGATGAAAATAACTTGATTCTTCTTAATGATGGGCAACCAACCACAGTTGGCTCTTTAACTTGGCGGCCCAATGCTCTAGATTTGACCATAGTTAGTCCTTCTTTGGCTTTATCTTGTGAATGGTCTGTTCATGATGATCCTCTCGGCAGTTATCATCTACCTGTAAAAACAAATATTAGTCTCAATGTCAACAACCAACAAGATTGTAATAACAATAATGTCATGGATGATAAGGTCACTTTTCCAATATTCAAAAATTTTAAACTGGTTGATTGGAAAATGTATCAATGTAAAGTTGAAAGTCTTTTATCTGAGTTTTGTGTTCAATCATACACCCCATTGGAGGCTTATACACTATTTTGTGAAATTCTTTATTCAGCCACAGAGTCTTTAACCCCTACCAAATTAAAATCCAACTCTACCAACAGAAAAACTGGCAAAGGACTCTCATTACCTTGGTGGAATAATAATTGTTCAGTTGCTGTGAGTAATTCTAAACAAGCATATATTACATTTAAAAATAATCCATCAGAAACAACCTATTTGGAATTTAAAAGGTTGCAAGCTTTAAAAAAACTCACCCTTAAAACTGAAAGATCAAAAAGCTGGGCTGATTTGTGTAGTTCATTCAATCGTTGTACCCCTCTTACTGTAATCTGGAAATATATGCGTAAATTCAATAAATCTTTTATTTTAAGTCATCCAGACTGTGACAGCTGGGTTTTACCTTTTCTTAAGAAATATACTCCTGATTATGTACCTACTCATCAGGACTGTTCCTACAATAGATCTCAATCAAATTCCACCAACCTCTTTTTAATAAAACCATTTACAATAACAGAATTGAAAAACGCAGTCTCCTCCAGAAGAGAAAGTGCATTTGGATTGGATGGTATCCCTTATAAAATGTTGAAAACTCTTAGTGATTCTAGTTTGCAGATATTTTTGAAGGTTTTAAATCATCTTTGGGAAAACAATGACATACCACCTTGTTGGAAAATAGATTGCTTGGTTCCTATTTTAAAGCCTAATAAGCCTAAATTGGATAAAGATTCTTATCGCCCTATTGCACTAACTTCATGTGTAGGAAAAATTTTTGAACAACTACTAAAGCAAAGATTGGAGTTCTATGTGGAAAAAAATGGCATTTTACCTTCGAATCAGTTTGGATTTAGAAGAGGTCGCTCATCTCGTGAAAGTATCTGCCAATTACAACTTGACATCCAAAATTGTCTAGTAAAAAATCAAACTATGGTGTCTGTATTCTTTGATGTTGCGGGAGCTTTTAACAGTGTCAATGTTGATGTGCTTTCTAATGAGTTAACTTCAGTGGGTATACCACCAAAACTTGTTCATTGGGTCCAAAAGTTCTTGTCTGAAAGAAAAGTTTTTGTTAAGAATAATGGTTACCTATATGGCCCACGGTTGGCTTCTGTTGGTGTCTGTCAGGGAGGAATTTTATCTCCTCTTGTTTTTATATTATATATCCGACGTCTCAACTTAATTCTGGGTGGACATGTCAAAAATTTACAGTTTGCTGATGACTTGGTAGTATATGCTTCCGATCATAAAATTACAAATTTAGTAAATAAAATTAATAGTGCCTTATTTAATCTTAATCAATATTTTACATACTTAAATCTTGATATTAACCCATTAAAATCAAAACTGCTTGTATTTGGGAAAAATAGATCTTTGATGCCTACTGTTTACTATAACAATGTTGCTATTCCAGTTTCATTAGACACAAAGTTTTTGGGTGTTTTAATAACTCACAACTTATCTTGGAAAAAATATATTGAACACATAACAACTAGGGCTAACAAAGCTTTAAACATATTAAAATCTTTAGTTTCTACATATTGGGGAGCTGATCCTAAGATCTTGTTGTTACTGTATAAGTCTTTGATTCGCAGCCATTTTGAGTATGCTTTTTTTTGTTTTGCTCATGACAACAAAATTGTAGATATCCTAGACAAAATTCAAAATAAAAGTATGCGTTTGATAACTGGTGCTTTCAAAAGCACTCCCATTAATGTTATGCAAATTGAGTGTAATCTTTCTCCCATTTCAATAAGATTTAGTTACTTAAAGGAAAGATTCCTTTTGAAGCTATTCTCAATAAACAATAATCAACTTTTAAAAAATATTTCATATTTATCACAATCACTGGCAGGTAGGCCTTTGTATATCATGCAAGGATTTCCTCAGTTCACTCAGTTTCTCGAAAATTCCAACATTTATAAGCCTTCAATCTTACCATGCTATGAAGGGCATTTTGAGAGCAAATTTCCATCAATTGACATAAATATCTACAAGGAGCTTTCTACTAAAGAGGAGGTGTTTGGTGAACTATCAAATTGGGTTGATCATAAACATATTTATACAGATGGCTCAAAAAATGATTCAAGTGCATCTTTTTCTTTTTACGTTAGCTCTATAAAATCTGGTTTAGGTTACAAGATAGACAAAAATTCCTCTGTATTCACTGCAGAAGCTCTAGCAATTTTGGCTGCTCTGAAACACATAAAACACCAAAATCAAGGACATAAAAAATGGCTAATACTTA